CCCGGCGTGGTCTCCACCACCAGCACGGGGCTGAACAGCCTGGCCGCGAGCCCGGCCAGCTGGCTCTTGGAGGTTGGGTCCAGCACGCTGAGGGGCGGCAGCACGAACAGGTTGCGGTTCTCCCGCGAGGAGTGCGACGCCGGTCCCAGCGAGGTCAGCTCCACGATCCGCGGACGCCGCGTCCGCTGGCTGTCGGCGCTGCTGAGCGCGGCCAGGGCGTCCGCCGTCAGCGACAGGGACAAGTCCTTGTGCGCGCCCGCTTCCTGGTCCGCTATGGCCGAGGGCAGCACTTCGAAGGAGGAGTTGTGGAGTAGGTCCCCGAGGCGCTCCGAGGCCTCGCCGAGGGTGGCGGCCAGACAGCTGGTGCGCCCTCCAAGCGCCTGACGCTGCTCGGCCAGGCCAACCAGGGGCACTGCCAGACACTCTCGGTCGGCGAGCAGCACAAGACCCGAGGAAGGTTGGAGGGCGCCGGTTACCAGTGCGGCCGCCACCTGCTCGTCCTCGTTCTGCAAACACCAAATCAGTTATTTACAGACTGCCGGGACGTGGCGTGGAGTAAGGTGGGAGGTGGACGGCACCATCACCTTGGCCACCACGACGGCACTGTGCACCGGAGCCACACTGGCCGCAGCCTTCACCACGCTGCCGGCCGCAGCTGGAGTCCACTCGCGCACTTGCAGCACTCGCAGGAGTGCGCCAAGCTGCCGCCGGAGAGCGCGCTGCCTCTGCCGCACGAGCGGAGAGCTCGGCGACGATCCCACGACGGCCAGGATGTGGCGCGCGCCCAGCACGGCCAGCCGGCTGGCCAGTAACAGCGCGTCCACGGCCTGGCAACCTGAGGGGGGGGGGAGCAAGACGTCGTCAAATTGCGTCCACCGTACCTACTAGTTCTCCTGTTATGAGGCGAAGACGCTCACCGACAACGATGTAGCACTTGTTGGGGTCGCACACCCGGCCGGCTTCTAGCGCCATGCTGTCTACCTTAACCACCGCTTTCGTTCCCCGCATCACATCGCTGATGCTACAAGGAAAGGATAAATTCGTTCTGCGTTATGCCTCTGGTTGAAGTAGTGTCTCGGGTAGCGGAACGTACCGGGTGTAACTGTGAATACGCAGCAGTGTGGCCGGATTGCATACTCAATATGGCCGCAGGGGCCATGGCCCCTTACGGATATAAAGAGTAGGCAAACCCGCAACGCTGCTGCGTATTCCTTGTTGCACCCGGTACAAACCTTCGGGGACTGTTGTAGTCCTCAGCCCCCACGATGGGCTGCACCGCACCGTCGCGTATCGCCTTGGCGACGGCCTCCACCACCAAGTGGCGGGTGCCCTCGGTAGCATGAAACAGCGCGCTACCTGAGCAGCTGAACATGGCAATAGTCCGTGTGAACACCCATAAACCTGAGGACATGACAAACGAGAAGCGTGTGAGGGGTGAGAGATGAGCAAGGAAAGGGTAGGGCAACGTAGACTGTGATGCCTTGGTCACCTATGCTCCCTTCCTGCAAGTTCTCGCGGGAGAAGTTGACGAAGCGGCCAAAAAGTCCGATGCAGCGGAGGGACGCGCGGAACTCGGCGCCCGCGAGCGTGTTGACGACCAGGCGCACCCCGCGGTCGCGGGTCAGCAGGCGCAGGCGGGGCTCGAAGGAGCCGCCGTCGCCGCAGCTCAGCACCTGGGCGGGCTGCAGCTGGGGGAACATGGCGAGCAGCGCGTCGCGCTCCCGGCTGTTGGCCAC